CCATGCATGCTTCTTGTTAATCACATACATCAAACAAATCGGCAACGCAATCGTCTTGAATATCTCAGGTCTTTGAAGGGAATACTTCAAAGAGAGGACACAGCCTATAGGAGGAGTAGTCAACTCTCTTTAAGATAAGCATACTTCATCTGCGTATGAGAGGAGGCAAGCATGTGTAGAAAACAGCTTTGTCTAAGCATTCATGGGGTGCAGGTGCTCTGTGGAGAAATGTCCTTCCTGGAATATCACGTATGGAGGGGCTGTCTTTATCTCAGACTGTGGAGTCATGCCTCTCTCAGTAGGGACGGTGTGCCGTGAGTGCTGGGCGCAGGCCACATCCATCTTCTTCCAGGTGCTCCGTTTCCCACAAATAGCAGCAGAAGCTGAGGGGAAGGAGGAGAAGGAAAGGAGACAAGACATTTCGTAAAGTACCATCACATGGACTATAACACGGAATTAGCGACAAGCCCAGACGGTACCAGCAATGAAACCAGATGGTAGGTTCTGCATGGCCCAGAGGAGCCGAGAAAGCTGCCTTGTGCTGAAGAAGGGAGCCTTTTGCCTGTCTTTTCCTGATTCCGATCCCGGGTTGTACCTCATTGCTTCTGTACCAGACCCCCCAACTGTAGAAGACGATTGAAGAAGAATCAATGCGTTTGAATTGAGGTGCTAGAGAAAGTTCTATGGACTGGCAAAAGGACAAACCAATCTGTCTGGAAAGAACTAAGGGTCAGAGTGATCCTTGGAGGCAAGGATGGCAAGACATCATCTCACATACGTTGGTCATGTCAGGAGAGACCATTCCCTGGAGAAGGATATCAAGCTCGGTCAACTGGAGGGATAGCAAAACAGAGGAAGGCGCTCAACAAGATGGATTGGCACCGAGCCTGCAACAATGGCCTCAAGCGCAGGAACAAATGTGAGGATGCTGCAGGACTAGGCGGTGGTTTTTCTTCTGTGTGCACTCTAGCCCCTATCCAGATGGGTCCTAAGGGATGGTTGTGTAATTGGAGGGAAGAAATTAAGAGACAGACAAAAGTTCTAGGGTTCCCACCTCCTCCATGGGCATCAGGACCAGGTCTGGGTGGAGAAGAGAATGTATTCTTATGGCAACGTATATCGTCTTGGGGCATAAGACCCCACCCCCCAACCACAGACCTATGTAACAAGGTGGGTAATACCTTAACCCTAGATGTCACCAAGCGCTCATTGGAGGAGTAACCTATCACCAGTGCGGTGGGGGCTGGGGCGTCAGGTAAGGAGGAGTGACTGTCCCCTCAGCAGGGAGAGCAATAGCAACATGCCTGCTCCTACAGATAAAGCTGCTCCTATAGATAAAGCTGCCGGCCAGATATCAATCAGCCATGTACTTGTAAGAGGTAAGTAGGGTAGCACTGTTAAGGGAGGATATTGTCGGGATGTTTTTTAATTAGATGCATGTGACTGGGACGCTTCTCTCACAAATGTCAAGGCCTCCCTCCACTCAGAATCCTGGCCTCGCAGGCTTCCTCACCCATGAGAATAAAGAATTTGTCTGCATACACTCTCTTCCTGGGCCTTTCCCCCAGTTCTGTTGTGTGTACATTCACTATGGGTTGGAATCAATTCAATGGCACCTACCGACTGTGGGTACCCACCCCCACAATCGAATGGGTCCAAGGGGAGGCTGTGTCATTGAGGAGTAAAAGTAAAGAGGCAACAGACAAGATAAAGCATGCAAGGGCTCACCTTGGAAGTCATGGTTTCAGGAGCCAGGTATGCTCAGAGAGAGTGAGTAATGGAATTTCATGAATTTATATAATCTGGGGCACGGAGACCACGGGAAGCACATAGGTAACAGGAAGGGTGTGTACAACAGGCATACACATAACAGGAGGGGTACTAGGTAGGGGTATACACACAATAGGAAAGGGAGGCACTGGGACATGTGACAGGAAGGCATACAGGTAACAAGACAGGTGGACTCTAGAGTCAAGATGGCAGCCTAACCTTGGTCATCCCTGAGTTGGCTTGGCCTTAGATGTCTTTGAGCTCTCCTTCAGAGGAACCACCCATTATTCTTATCAGAAGAAAGCAGGCTCTACTCAGGGTGGGACAGATAATGGGGACTGGTTGTCTTAAATGGCTGACAACCTTCAGGCAGAAAACCTTCAAGCAGTTGACCTCCAAGTGTATAGTCAGTGATCATGTGCTTGCAAACAGCACCTAAGTTTTGGCATTATTATGGGAGGTCATCGTGGGGAATAACTTTATTTAGGAGAACGTGAGTGGGTTGCATCTCCAACCCCAAATGGGAAGGTTTTCTCCACGAGAGCCTTGGCCTCCCAGACTCCTTAAAGTATGACTGTTGAGAGTCTGTCCTCTTACACCCTCTTCCCGGTTCTGTTTCCTACAACCAGCAATATTACAACGGGAAGCACAGCCATTGCAGTGGATTACTGAGCCCAACAGAGAAGTAGAGAGTGGTGAGGGCAGGCAGGCTAGTGTTAGAACTGGTAAAAAAAAGTGGAATTGTGCCCGATCTGACACCACCACACCAAGGCAAACCACTAACGGTGTGCAAGAACAGCAAGGATAGCAGAACAAGGAAGTCCCAAGGGAATACCAACAATAGACTTTGGGGCCAGGGCATGGCACCCCATCAGTTTGACGAGAAAACACTCCTAAAGGTCAACAAACAGACCTTGAACTATTTACAGGCGCTTTTTTTGTCATTGGTTTTTATGTTGTTGTTTTGTTTTGTTGCTTTGTTTTGTTCCATCTTGCTTTTTTTGTGCATATTATTATCTCTGCAGGTCTATTTAGATAAGATAGGAGGGATAAACAATCTCAAGGAGAAAACAATGGGACCTACAGTTCTGGGGAGACATGGGAGAGGGGGAGGCAGGGGAAAGGAAGTGGGTGCTAACAAACCCAGGGACAAGGGAACAACAAGTGATCAAAAATCGATGGCAAGGAGGGTGTAGGAAGCCTGGTAGGGCTTGATCAAGGGCAATGTAACTGAGAGGAATTACTGAAACCCAAATGAAGGCTGAACATGATAGTGGGACAAGAGGAAAGTAAAAGGAAATAGAGGAAGAAACTAGGAGGCAAAGGGCACTCATAGAGATGTAGTAAATACAGGTATGTACATATGTAAATGTATTTATATATGAGGATGGGGAAATAGATCCATGTGCATATATTTATAAATTTAGTATTAAAGTAGCAGATGGTCATTGAGTGTCTACTCAAGTACTCCCTCAATGCAAGAACACTTTGTTCTATTAAACTGGCATTCCACGATGCTCACCTTCCCAACACAGAAAAATGTGTGCATAAGTAAATGTGGTGAAGAAAGATGGTGGTGCCCAACTATCAAAAGATATAGCATCTGGGGTCTTAAAGGTTTGAAGGTAAACAAGTGGCCATCTAGCTGAGAAGCAACAAATCCCACATGGGAAAAGCACACCAGCCTGTGTGATAATGAGGTGTCACAGGAATCAGGTATCAGGCATCAAAGAAACAAAAAAAATCATAGCATTGTGAATGAGGGGGAGTGTGGAGTGGGGACCCAAAGCCCATCTGTAGGCAAATGGACATCCCCTTACAGGAGGGTTGCGGGGAGAAGAGCCAGTCAGGGTGCAAATGAAACCTACAACTTTCCTCTAGTTCTTTAATGCTTTTCCCCCACCTCACCCCCGACTATCATGATCCCAATTCTACCTTACAAATCTGGCTAGACCAGAGGATGTACAATGGTACAGATAAAAACTGGAAACACAGGGAATCCAGGACAGATAAATCCCTCAGGACCAATAATGAGCGTAGCGATACCAGGAGGGGATGGGGAAGGTGGGGGGAGAAAGAGGGAATCAATCACAAGGATCTATATATAACCCCCTCCCTGGGGGACAGACAACCGAAAAGTGGGTGAAGGAAGACGTTGGACAGTGTAAGACATAACAAAATAATAATAATTTATAAAATATTAAGGGTTCATGAGGGAGGGGAGAAAATGAGGAGCTGATACCAAGGGCTCAAGTAGAAAGCAAATGTTTTGAGAATGATGATGGCAACAAATGTACACATGTGCTTGCTACAATGGATGGATGGATGGATCGTGATAAGAGTTGTATGAGCCCCCAATAAAATGATTTTTAAAAGAAGAAGAACTGGTTAAAAAACAAGGTCGGGGAGTGCATGTGTGTCTGACCTTCCTTCATATGAACCAGCTTTCCCAGGGGTGCTTGTCTGTCCTCCAACTGAAGTTTGAGGACTTCAGACACACGACTCGAACGTTACGTTATAACTTGCACTAAAATGTGATTGTCTATCTGAAAGGTGACTTCTAACTGGAGGTCCTGCATTTCATCTGGGAAGACAAGCCCCTTTGGGAATGCTCCTTCCCCTGCACCCTGGCTCCTGCTCCCACCACCCAAAACCAAAGCTCACTGCCATCGAACTGATTCAGACTCCTAGCGATCCTATGGGACAGGGCAGAACTGTTCAATGGGTTTCAGAGACTGCAACCCTCTACAGGCGTAGAATGCCTCATCTTTCTCCTTTGGAGCAGCTGGTGGTTTTGAACAGCTGACCTTGAGGCTAAGTAGCCCAACTTGTAAACACTAGGCCACCAGGGCTCTGCCAGAGCCTGGGAAAAGACAGCTCTCTGTGGGCTTTCACTTCTGCTTCCTCAATGGTCCAGGGCCCAGTGGGGGGACCCCTACTTCCACCCCAGCCAGTTTCCATGACTGACCCCACACTTCCCTTTGCCCCACCCCCACAGAGGGGACCCAGGAAGGAACAGCTCAGCAAGCCCAAAGCCAAGCCCCACCCTGCAAGATGGCAAGCACTCACGGGGTGGAAGGGGGCGGGGGTGCAGCGGTGGGTGGTGCATGAAGAGGCTACTGAGTGTGGGTCCCAGGGTGTCCGGAGCAGAAGTTCATTTCATGCCTCAGTCCCCAGGCACAGCTTCCGCCTGCAGCTTCCTCTTCGGCCCCAGCCCAGAGTCAGCAGCAGCGTCAGGGCCATGAGCTGGTTCCAAGATGCTGCTGCTGCTGCTGCTGCCGCCCATGCTGCTGGGGGGTGAGTGGGCTGAGAACCAGAGTGGTTGTGGGGAGTGGAGGTGAGGGTGGAGGGCGGGGTGTCACAGGACAAGCCTCTGTCTCCCCTCAGGGTCCCTGGCCCAGGATTGGAGATACACATACACGCTGCAGGTACAGCGTTCGGCCACGGTGCAGGAGGGCCTGTGCCTCTCCATCCCCTGCACCTTTAACTACCCCCGGGAAGGCTGGACGCACTCTGGCCCAGCTTATGGCTACTGGTTCCGGGAAGGGACCGACAGTACCCACGGGTTTCCAGTGGCCACAAACCACCTAGTTCGAGAGGTCTCCAGGGAGGCCCGTGACCGATTCCAGCTCCTCGGGGACCCCCGGACCCTGGACTGCTCGCTGATGATCAGAGACGCGCGGAGGGAGGACACAGCCAAATACTTCTTTCGAGTGGAGAGAGGCACTCTGAAATATAGTTATACGTACTACCCAATGTCTCTGGAAGTGACAGGTATGGAGCCGGCCGAGCCGAGTGGGCTGGGGACAGACTGTGAGGACCCGACCATGGACCTGGGGCTAGGACACCCCTCTCTCTGACCCAGGCCTGACCCAGAAGCCCGATGTCTATGTCCCTGAGACCCTGGAGCCTGGACGCCCGGCAAAGCTACTCTGTCTGTTTCCTGGGGACTTTGCAGGCTGTCCGACCCCCATGTTCTCCTGGACAGGGTCAGCCCTCTCCTCTCAAGGACCCAGACCACAAACCTCTCTCTTCTTCTCTGAGCTCACCCTGACACCGAGACCCCAGGACCACAACACTGAGCTCACCTGTCGAGTGGGATTCTCCAACAAGGGAGTGAGCGCAGAAAGGACCATCCAGCTGAGGGTGGACCGTGAGTTAGGGGCAGGACTCTGGGGTGTGGGGACAGGCCATCTGTACAGGGACGAGCAGCCAGCAGGCTGGGGTCCTGGAGGGAACCTGGGCAGAGTGGTGTGTCCTGGGAAGCTGCCTTCACCCTGGGAGGTGGCTGGGCCACTCTTCTGGGCACAGCTGGTGCTGGCTGCATGGCCCCAGGCAAGGCCGGGGACAGTCACACCTCCTTTCCAGGGGTGCTCTCTGTGACTGTGGGGAAACCATTTCTCCCAAAGTCGGCTCACACTCTCCTTGCAGATGCCCCCAAGGATCCTGTCATCAGCGTTTCCCAGACCACTGCATCAGGTACCTGGTGGGAAGGGCGGTGGTGAATTGGGCATATGTAGCACTCTGTTGGGGGGGATAAAAGACTTGTGGTGGGTAGGGAGTGAGAAGCCCACCTTCCTCTGTCCCCTCCAGTCCCCTCGCCCCAAGGAAACTTCCTGGAAGTCCGGAAAGGCCAGTACCTGCGCCTGTGCTGTGAGGCAGACGGCCAGCCCCCAGCCATGCTGAGCTGGGTCCTGAACAACAGGGTGCTCTCCATGTCCCCTCCCAACCAGTCCAGCCCTCTGGAGCTGGAGCTGCCTCAGGTGGGACCCAGAGATGCGGGGCGCTACACCTGCCAAGCGGAGAACAGGCTGGGCTCCCAGCAGAGCTGGCTGAACCTCTCTGTGCAATGTGAGTGTGGGCGGGGCGGTTTCCTGGAGAGGGGACACTGGTGGCAGGAAGGGGGAGGGGGTGTCCTGGAGTCAGGGTCACAGAGGGGGAGGGGGTCTGTCCCCAGAGCAATGGCAGCAGGCCCCCACCTGTCTGAATCGCAGAGTGTGGTTTCTGGGGATCCGCAGGTGATTCAGCACCCCCACCCCACCCCCTCTGTTTCAGACCCTCCCGAGAACCTGCGAGTGACCGTTTCCCAAGCAAACAGGACGGGTATGAAGTGGGAGGTGGGAGGTCGGGGTGCGGGCGGCCAGAGGCCACATCCCTGCGGGGCGTCCAGACCCTGGCTGCGAAGGTCCCTGGGCCCTCAGCTGCGCCGCCTCTCCCCCTCCCCAGTCCTGGAGAGCGTCGGGAATGGCTCCTCGTTCCCGGTCCTGGAGGGCCAGTCCCTGCGCCTCGTCTGTGCGGCCGACAGCAGCCCCCCCGCCGAGCTGGGCTGGGCCCGAGGGCGCGGCGCCCTGAGCCGCTCGGCAGCCTCGGACCCCGGGCTCCTGGAGCTGCCCCGGGTGCGGAAGGAGGACGAAGGGGAGGTCACTTGTCGAGCTGAGAACCTGCTGGGCGCCCAGCAGGTCTCGCTGCACCTCTCTGTGCTGTGTGAGTGCGAGGTGGGGGTCGTGGCGGGGCGGGACTTTGGGGCCTGGGTGGGAGGGGCCGCTGCTGAGCCCGCCCCTTCCCCTCAGACCCCCCTCGGCTGCTCGGCCCCTCCTGCTCCTGGGAGCCCGAGGGTCTGCGCTGCAGCTGCTCTGTGCGCGCCCGGCCGGCCGCGACCCTGCGATGGCGGCTTGGGACCCAGCTGGTGGAGGCTACTGGCCCCAACGCCTCGGTCACGGTCACCTCCAGCTCCGACGGGACCTGGGCCAACAGCTCCCTGAGCGTGCGCGCGGGGCTCAGCCCCGACCTGGCGCTCCACTGCGAGGCCCGGAATGCCCACGGGACTCACAGCCTCACTATCCTGCCGCTGCCCGGTGGGGGGTCTGCGGGGTGCCCTGGCATGGTGGCCGGGGCGGAGGGGGAAGGATCAAGCTGGAGTCAGGGTGGTGTGGCCGGAGAGCAAGCTGGGACCTGCGCCTGGGGCGTGTGGAGGAGACAGACTGGACTCCTGAGAGCAGGGATTCTGAGCGGACAGCAGACGGGAAGGGGGCCGGGGATAAGGGGGGCACCAAGCAAAATGTGGGGGGAGGGATGTAGGCAAGGGGGGGCAGAAGAGGTGAAAGTGCAGGACGGATGTGACCAACAGCTGACCTTCTGGTTGTTCAGATGACCAGGGAGCCTTTTCCAGCGCCTTCTCCAAGGGATGCTTACTGGGGACAGGCATCGCCACCCTTCTGTTCCTCTGCCTCATCCTCATTCTGTGAGTTAGCAGCCCTGCAGAGAGGGAGGGAGTGTGTGTGTGTGTGTGTGTTAGCAGCTCTGCAGAGAGGTGTGTGTGTGTGTGTGTGTTAGCAGTCCTGCATAGAGGGATGTGTGTGTGTGTTAGCAGTCCTGCAGAGAGGGGGGGGGTG